AATAATTCAATACAAGCTTTAGCATGCCTTTGTTGTCATGTGTGAACAATTGTTTGTACATGTTACACTGTTACACAGCTAGTTGTAATGTAGAGTATATACACTGTGAACTAGTTGAGTGAAGAATACACCAGAATTATAGAATGTGACTAGCAAGATGATGAGGGGAAATGGGTCGAACTGATCACTGTAAATGGAAAAGTCACTAGTAGAAGTGGTTTGATAAATTATTTTCTTTCTAAACACTGTACTGCACTTGTTCAATTAAGACACCAAAGCCTTGAGGCTTGGTTTGAAATTTAGCATGGGTTTTCTAGGAATAATCTTTTATTTAATTATTGGTCACTGCAAGTTTTATGATTCAACCTTATCTGAAAACATAAAGACATGGTTCTACCAAATACATACATAAAGTAGCTGCACTTAATTTTGATGGCTTCCAATAAAAAAGGTAGCAGAAGAGCAATCTTTATATAATTCATCTACTGTACCAAACAGAAATTTGCACATTACTCAGAAATGTTAATACACTGAAAGGGTTGGCAAGGTTTACTGCAAGAATGAGATATTAAATACTAATACAGTATATGAGCATGGGGTAAATATTTACCTAAGGTTTACTCAGTAAAACATACAAAAAATCTAAAGAATCTAAAAGACTAAAGAATCCACTAAAAGAATCTGGTCCATGAGAATAATCATTGCATTGAAAGGAATCCATTATGATCAATGAGATTTGAAGACTGATTACACTGGAAAATAACAGAACATCCTCCTAACAGTGCATGATACTCAGTCACCTCTTTTGATCCCCACTGTTGAGGAGAGGAAGCCAGTTAGATTTGTTGAGGCTAACAACTGACTTTTCACTTGATGCAACCCACAACAGTTGCCAAACTCCTGGATACCTATTGCAAATACAGTACTGTACTGTATTGTATTTGTAATAATATTTACAGTACTATTAAAAGAACAAGAATAGCAAAATTAGGGAAAAAATATGGTCTGCTAAAAATGACTTTATGTGAAAATACAAGATTCACCGCAGCCCTTACTATATTTTTCTCCGATACCCAAATTTTAGAAGAGTGATCCAGGAGATGGATTTGATCCATTATTTAGATTTCCACTATATGGAGATCTAGATTTTAAAGGTTCCACTGTACTGTACTTTGGTATTTAAATTACTGTAGGTTAACATCAGCAATCTACTTTATGTTTACATAAACAGTCTCCGTGGTGTAGTGGTAAGACACTCGCCTGGCGTTCCGCGAGCGCTATGTCATGGGTTCGTATCTTGGCCGGGGAGGATTTACTGGGCGCAATTCCTTAACTGTAGCCTCTGTTTAACGCAACAGTAAAATGTTTACTTGGATGAAAAAACGATTCTTCGCAGCAAGGGATCGTATTCCAGGGACCTGCCTGAAACGCTACGCGTACTAGTGGCTGTACAAGAATGTAACAACTCTTGTATATATCTCTCTCTCAAAAAAAAAAAAAATAAATAAATAAATTCAATAATCTGAAATTTCATAATAATTTACAGTACCTGTATAATGAAATACCTTGTTGAAGTTACATAACTTATGCTATAACATTTCTTGTATGAAAATTCAATATAAAGAGTAAAACCAATGCATAAGCAGAGAGTGCGATTGTGGTGCGTAAACACCGAGAGATCGAGTACAGTATATATAAAAATGAAAAATAAGATTCTGGATCTATATTCAATTCATTACTCTAAGGTATTTTTTTTTATGATTCCTTGCATGAATAACAAATATTTGAAAATTTCTCTGGGGTCAACTTTAAAATTCCTTAGTGCAAGTCTCTTCTTAAATACAGTGATCAGTTGTGCACAATACATAATCAAACTTACCATTCATGTTCTGACACAGAGCTTGCGTGACTTTATGTGATTTTATAGAAACATAAGTAATAGAGATACTGTATAGCAAATCATTAAACAAGAATGCATGTGAAGTAATTTAATTTCCACAAAATCTATTTATGTTGTCACAGTTCTGATTAAAATCTTGTATACGTACTTGGTCTTATATGTCAGTATATGTGGAGATAAGGATAACATAATAAGGCTTTATGGATCAAATCTGACATACATTAAAAAGCTTTAAAATTGTTAGAAATGTTCTTAGGCAAGCAACATCAGTTAAGAATATCCAAGAGAAACAAACAGTGCATATAATACGGTATTACTGGCTGAATAAAACATATATTATAATAAACATTGACAGCAAAGAAGTACATTTTACAGCTGTATTTTACTTTTGATGAAATACAAATTACTGCACATTAACAAATTACAGTACACAAGAGAAATCTATCTTTACCTTTCGGTTTGGGTCGAGATGCTCCGGTAAAAGAATAAGCATAGAACCACCTAGATCATTATTAGTCATCCTCCACTGGTAATGGATCTCAGTGATCTACAAATGTAAGTCCAACTCACTCTCCCAGGTACTGTACATACAAGCTGGTAGGCAAGTGAGAAACATATTGTGTTTTGGTCAGTACACTTCACTAGCCTATGTCTATTGATTTCCAATGCAAAATTACTAGTAATGATGGCTTACTGTACAGTATTTCAAACAAATTTATCTATTCAAGCACGTGTGTCCATAATATATTAAAATAAATTAAGTATGGGAATAAAAAAGATGGTTGATGTATAAAAACCAAATACTGTACTCAAGAGGCTCAGCTCAGCTGTGAAGTATGCAGCTTACTAGTGATCGTGGATCTGCAATGACAGGAACTGATTGCCAAAACATTTATTACCTCATCCCAATACTAGTACAGTACCCAATTGTCATTCTTTGCCTAGTTGCAACATGAGGGACATAACACAGACACCTAAGTCAGGTACAGTACTAGCAACTGTTAATATGAATAGTGCACTCTGGATCACAAGCACCATTTGCACCATAGTTGTTACTTGGCAACTAACTATTGACTAGCAGTTAGGCACACCAACCCTAACGTGCGCCAAATATTGATATGTACGTGCACAGTGGGAGGGAAACTTTTTATTATTACTGTATTATTATTATTATTTTGACTAAGGTAATGATATATTTATGATAGCATGATTTATACACTGAAGACAAAAAAATGAAGCACACATACATCACAACATAAATAATTATGCATAAAATTTCTTCCTTTTCCAGTGGTTCCATGGATTTATAACCTTGTGGGTGAAAAAGTATCTCCTGTTTTCATTCCTGCATTGTGGCTTGTTGAGCTTGAAACCATTGCTCCTTGTTTGTGTTATATCTGACCTTAAGAAGAAATTTTCTAGATCAACATCCTCCAAATTGTTCAGTATTTTAAGTTTCAATGAGATCTGCCCTCTCATGCCTGGTTTGCAGTGTTGTTAGCCCTGTGGCCCTCAACCATTCCTCGTACGTGAGTTGACTTGGCTCTGGAATGATTTTTTTTGTCCGGTGTTGCACTTACTCCAGAGCAGCTATGTCCTTCTGAAGATGAGGGCTCCATGAATGAATACAATAATCCAAATGGGGGCACACCAGAGACTTAAACAATTGAATCATTACCTTGTTTTCCTTAAAGTCAAAGGTACACTTGATTATTCCAAGGGTCTTCTTGATTTGGGTTATCTTGAGGTTATCCTAAGATGATTTCGAGGCTTTAGTGTCCCCGCGGCCCGGTCCTTGACCAGGTCTGGTTAGCTTTTTTGACTGCTGTACCCACCTGTTGTGCAGCTTTCATTGAGTCGTGGATTTTCACTCCAAGGTCCTTTTAAAGTTCAAATTAAACTGTCAATGACTTCACTTTTAAAGTGTCATTATATTTTAAAAAATCAAGTTAAAAAAATCCCTTCATTAATATAATTATGAAATAAAAAATGCCACAATCTTGTGTGTTAAACTAAAACTGATGCAATGAGCCGAAAAAACAATTGTGCCCTAAAAATCAATCAATATGTATGATTGATGGCATTAGTGTCTTAACAAAAGTAGCAGCTATCTTTACTGTCATCGGCAATACATGCTTCATATTTTATTATGTGGTAATATATTTTTCTTAATTTTCAGTACAGCATAGTATGTAAGGAATGTTAAAGTATATATTTTTATTTTTAAGTTTTTTCTTTGTGAATGACACAAGAATTTAAAATAATAATTTAATAATTCATTTGTGTCAGGGGAGACAGGAAGCCGTAGTGTACAGTATTCTTACACGGTAGACTTATACATGTACAGTATTAAGGTCCCCCCCCCCCCAGGGCAAATTACTGACTTTATCCAAGATGCAACCCCACAACAAGTTGACTAACTCCTGAGTACAGGGGCCTACTCACTATTAGGTGAACAGAGGCGTTAGGTGAAAGGAAAAGTGCCCAATCATTTCTGTCCCGCCCGAGATTCGAACTCAGAATTCTCGATTGTGTGTCGAGAACGAACCCGACTGTACTACCGGGGCCCTTAAATGCATTGGAAGCGGATGAAAACCCAGTGGTAGATTTGTTGAGTGATGAAAGGAGCCCATTGTGAGTTAATTTTAGGTACCAGCTGTAATAAAATTTATTGAAAAATACTGTACAGTACTATGAATATTTCAAATCAACTTTCAATCCATCATCCATCCATCCATCCACCAACCCATCTATCAGCCTGTCCAGACCAAAATTTTAATAGACTTTCTTATATTGTCAACAGTGTTTGCATTGAAAGTCAATTTTTAGCACTAAGTCAGGTATGGAATCACATAGGGAAACCTTAATTATCCAACCCAAATTGCATACAAGACAAATAAACTCCACAAATGAAGGATACCAGCTGCCCAGATTGTCTCTCAGCACAATGTGCCAGGCACAGGGAAAAGCATCTCGCTGTAACAAACACTGATCTCCAACTTAGACCATTTGGTTATGGAGGACATCAGCAGGTTTGGGTTATAAACATCACTTATGTGACCAAAGCATGCCCTCTAAAGTGCAAAGCCCCAATACTCACCAGCAGCAGAACCGAGCATAATAGGCAGGTCTTTAGTGTGTAGAAACATACAATCTGATGTCTCTTCCCATCAACAGGCCCCACAAGGAAGAACAGTCTCATATGCTGCTTGGAAGCAAGGTGATTCAAGAGGAGTTAGGTTGTAGAGGAGGTAGACAACAACCCCCCCTCAAAACATGTTTCTGGCAGGGTACAGGAAAACACAGGTCAACTCCAAGAAAGGTAACCGTGGCAACAGTTAAGAGCAAAATAGAATGCTAGAGCACACACATTACGGTTGACATTCAACACAATAGTGATGCATCAGTGAAATTAAACAAAGCAATAGTCACTGGAATAACTGTTATTCCAGTTTAGTCTAGACTCGCTTAGCTGAAAGTGTGAAGCAGGTAATGGACCCCACAGAAGTAGATCTAGAATATAACACCAGGAGGAAGAATGAGATAGACTATATAAATAGACTCCAGATGACTTTATAATTGGACTTTATCATCTAGTACCAAACTGATGATTTAATACTCAAGAACAGCCCCAATAAACAACACAACCCTCTCCAAAGAGCAAACATGGTACTGTATACCAATTTACATGCCCCAATGAAGGATGTCACCTTTGCTTCTACTTAAGTTGGTATGACCACCACAAAGCTTTCGAAAAAACTGACTTCCCATCTAAAAGCTGGTGCCCCCAGAAACTATGTACAAAGTGAATATAAAGTGACATTCACTAGAAACATGCTAGTAGATAATACAAAAATCCTGGAATCTACATCTGACCAAAGAAGAAGACTGCAAATCTGGGAAGCCATACATATAAGAGAAAAATTACCCACCTAAAATATATAGACTAACAATTCTGCTTCCTTGCCAACACTCAGACCCAGATCTTACCAAACATCCCTGGATAATGACATTTCTACCAAGGTCTCCATGCTCAGTGAGAGTACCAGGGTACTTGACCTAATGCCTTATCCAATATTTTATTAGCCCTACCTCCCCTTCCTTATGTTTGATTGACCCTCTCCCCCCCCCTTTTCCTATGTTTGTTTGGTCCTATCTCCTTACCCTATGTTTGACAGGCCTTATCCCCTTACCCTATGTGTGAGTGCCCCCTCATCACCTCACCCTATATTCTTTCATATGTGCATTTATCTCAAAATTATACCTCACGTATTTATTGTTTACCTGAAGATGTTCCATAGAACAACAAAATGTCGAAGAAAATAAACCTTTCAATAATTACTACAGTAGGTTTTTTACCTTACACTTTAGTAATTTGATTGTTCTTCTTAATACTGCTGCTAAGAAAATAGTTAGCACAGAATGCTTACACCAAAAGATCAACAACACCAGTTATTAATATTATTATGAGAAAATCAGTAGGAGCCATGAGGAGGATTAAAACGTATGTTTTGGGTAATCCCAAACAAATGCCTTATATCACTACACCACAACATGGCCAAAAGCATTGCAACCTGGGATTTAATTGAATTCTTTAACGTTCCTGAGGCTTGCTGCACTGTCACAAATGTGTTGCATAGCCTGGGAATCAAACTTTGGTTCAATCAACTGTAACTTAAGTGACTGATGGCTAGAAACTTTGCATTTTCCCCCAAATTAAACCTCTATTTCCAAAGGAAGATATAAAAACCCCATCAGTCTGTTAGGAAAGAAACTATGTAAGTCTGTTAAGAGGTAATTCAAACCTTTTACCTGAAGGCTACTAACACTCTAGTGGCCTCAGCGATGACAGGAAGCTGGCAGTTTATCAAAGGACCACCCATTTGTCCTGAGATCTTTTTCAAGCTGGATTTTAAAGTTCAACAGAGTTTGGCATTTACGACTTTGGCAGATAGGCGGTTCCATGGGTTTTTTACCCTGTGGGTGAAAAATTATCTCTTGTTTTCAGTCCTACACCTGTGGATTGTTGAGCTTAAAACTGTTGCTCCTTGTTTGTGTTACATCTGACCTTCAGAAGACATTGTTTGGATCAACATTCTCCAGTTTTTTGTTACCATAAGAACACTCATTTCTTTAGTTACACTGATCTTTATTTGACCAAAATAAGACAATTCCAAGTACAGTATATTATTAAAATTTTTAAGTTGCCAATGACCGCAAAGAACATTAGCAATACTGAGAGTTGCCAAACTATAGTTTTTTGCTATGAAAACAAAACATAATAAAATTATGCAAATACAAGTAACTGGAAAGTGTACATAGAGTAAGTTATACTGTATAAGTAAAGGGAATGTTGCTCAGGATTTATGAAATTTCAATTATAAAACTTCAGTTTTGGGCACTTAAATATCTTGCTTAGTTTTAATCTCATTTTGATAACATTTTCACACAATACACAAACAAGCAGGCTTTACTTATGCTTAAGAATTTAAAAAACAAATTTATTTTTAAATGTGATTCAATTTGTTACCAATTATAATTAAATAGTAATCAATTTTTGTTACAGTATTAAGACACAGTGGTATAACTCTTCAATTTATAGCAATTATTCTGTCATTTCCAGTGATAATAACATTTGACTTTTCAATATTTTTTCTTGCATATACAATGCATTATATCAGGTTACAAAAAAAAATAATTTGTTAATTTTTCATTTGCTGGGTTTAATTATGTTAGAATAGGTAAATATTAACAAAATATAAATCTGAGAACAGTTTAAGAACAACACTTCTACAGGGGTCCTTAAAAAAGGAAAGGATAGGATAGCATAAGATAAAGTTTATTAGGCCAGCTTTTGTTAGGTTTGGCAGTGGTGATACCTGATAACAGCCGCTATTTTTCTCTTACAGCAGAAAATGACTGTAAAGCGAAACAGAGCAATGGATAAAGCATTTAGCCTTACAATTACTGTCTCAGTAGCCATATAATCAGCATCTTATTTGTTAAATTGTTACAAATGAATAAATTAAGTTACACTAAGTATTTATATTAATAAGCTTGTGAATAATACGTCAACGAGTACAAATGTCGGTCAGTATGTGTAGCAGCAAGGCCACTTGCACGCATATTATATTGGTACACCACTGCTATGGACAGGATGTCTATTAGGCTACATGAGCTCCCCTCTACTGAAGGGTGACACTATTCCCTTGGTATCTATATAGTGTTGGCTAAACACAATGGAACTTAATCTGACCGATCAAGTTACTCATCAGCCACTGCACTGTACCATTGCATGCTGGCTGGAAATTGACTTTCGTTCCTTACACTGTATTATTTAGATTATAATTCTAGATTATAATAATACTAATTTATTGTGTCAGGGGACAGGCAGTCAGAGTATCAATACATGTTAAGCTTATGATGAGGTACCCCCCAGGTCGACCTACTGACCCTTCCCAGGATGCTACTGCACAAGCTGGCTAACATCTGGGGTACCTATTTACAGCTAGGTGAACAGAGGCATAGGGTGATAGGAAGCACACAAAACCATTTCTGTACCATCTGGGATTCGAACCCAGAATTCCCGATTATGAGTCGAGAACAAACCCAACTACTGTATACTATATACAGTGGAACCTCAAGTGACGAGCGCCTCAATTTACGAGCATTTTGAATAACGAGCTCGCCGATCACCAACAATTTGTCTCGATTGGCGAGTGCTCGTTTGATTAACGAGAAAACCACATGGTGCGTTCCCGTCGCTTCTCGCACATTCTCGGACGCCTCCGACTATGCAAATAAATTATTTTGTTTGCTGAAAGATGCTAATGATGCTGGGATGTAAAGAGGCGACTGCTGTAATGTTGCAAAGCATTGAATTTTTTTGTAGAATAAAAAAAAAAAAAAAAATGAAAAAAATGAAAAAAGAACAAATGTCAAAAAGGTTCATTCAATGTATGTCAGGTAGGCTGCTCCATGTTTCTTTAAAAAAAAAAAATGAAAAAAATTAACAAATTTGAAAAAAGAACAAATGTCATAAAGGTTTGTTCAGTGTATGCCAGGTAGGTTGCTCCATTATTAATAAATAAATGAAAAATACAAAACAAACTGAACACATTTGAAAAAAAAAGAAAGTATCATAATGGAGCATCCTACCTGACAAACACTGAACAAACCATTATAATCATTATGACATTTGTCCTTTTTTCAAATTTGTTCAATTTTTTTTTATTTTGATTTTAAGAAACATGAAGCAGCCTACCTGACATACTCTGAATGAGCCTTTTGCTATAAAAAATGAAAAAATAAAAAAAAGGGAACAAAGTTGAAAAATGAACAAATATCATAAAGGTTTGTTCAGTGTATGTCAGGTAGGATGTTCCATGTTTCTTAAAAAAAAATAAAAAAATTGAATAAATTTGAAAAAAGGACAAATGTCATAAAGGTTCGTTCAGTGTATGTTGTGAGAGTATGGTCTCTCATGATTATCCTACAGCTGACTTGAATGGCTCATTGCAGTGCACAGTGCACCGATGTCGTGCACAAGCCCTATCTCTGTTAACCCTAGATAGTAAACTGCCATGTTGGGTATCTCCAGGATGCCCACTTAACCAGGAATACGTTTATAATACAGAGGCTGCCGTATGTCCAGGCAGGAAGTAGATACAGGCAAGTTAAGCATACTTGCCACAAGGGTCAGTGAGTACACAGGAGGTGCCAGGCGTGAGAGAGGGAGAGAGGAAGCCAGCAAGGCGACAGACTGACCTCTGGGGTCAGCCTCAACCGGCATGATGGAGAATAACAACTATAACGTGGTCGCGACGTGTTCATGACGTCACCTCTGCTACTGATCAGGGAACGATCAATATGATTGATTCCCGCTCTTTTGCTGCAATGCCATTGGTCAATTGTAATCCCCTTGTGTGTGTCTCATGAGATGCCCTACAGCCGCTGGCAAGAGCATTCACTTGAGGGAGTTCGTGCATAGAGGACGTGTCCTGTTCTGTCTATCGGCCAATAGACAGAAGAACACCGTCTATTCCTCACCGTCAAGTTAAACTCAGCGTCTTTTTGATATACCAACGCTCACCCAGAATCGCGATCGTGACTATATTGTTTAGAAGCCTAGTGACAAGTCACCAGAGCGAAACAGACTGGTATCAGGTAACCCCTGGTGACAACTGGAGATCGTTGTGAGCGACCTAGAGGGAACTAAAGAGTGCCGCTGCCTAAGTAATCTGTGTGTGACTTTTACCACAGTGTACCTGCATGGTATCATATAATCAGCCGCCACTCGGTCCAGAGCATGTAGCTAGAGCCTCAAGCCACCACCCACCCTGCCTCACCTATTGCATATCATCATTACCCGAGTATCCGGTTGGAACTCTTGTAATCCCTTTGCACACTGGTTAGTTAGGTTTGCCGTGTTAATGATTGGCTGTCAACTGTGTTAAGTTAGGTGTTTCTCCACGAGTGAATCTGAATCGATTAGCCAGACGTCAAGAGTCTCGCTAATGCAACCATAGCCTTTCTGATGCCAATTTAAAGTAAATCAAGCACCCTTTGTATTAGTGGTTAAGTTAGTAAATAAACTACTCTTAAGCTTTATGCGGTGTTTCCGTTGAACCACTTCTGAATACTGCCAACTATTTACTCAAGCCTTCAGCTCAAGGTGTCTTCAACACCGAATTGCCTATTATTCACAAATCTATAAATATGATGAGGACCCTAGAAGTCCCTTAAAGTGTTTCAAGCATTGAGGAGATTCCAACAATCAACGTGGACCAGGCCCAAGTGAGACTAGTCTGAGAAGAGACCCTCAAGGACTCTAACTCGACCTTGCTCCCAGTCCCTGTACGGTTGCTCTCATATTTTCTCTGCTGATTCTGACAGCTTCATGAAGCGTCTGTCACATGTACATTGGTGACGTACGCATTGCAGTCGGGAAAGCAAAATAGAAAACCCCACATATGTCAGGTGGGCTGCTCCATTATTTAAAAAATCGAATATCATATTTATGTGTTTCAGTGGTGGAACGGATTATTTTTATTTCCAATACTGTATTTTAAATGGGGGAATTCGTTTTGAAAGA